CAGTGGGTGAGGGACAAGTCAGAGCTCACTCTCAGCTTCAGAGGCTCGCAGAAAGTTCAGCCCCCACAGGCAATCAGGCAGAGGAAGTCAAGGCCCAGAGGCATCAGCTGGGAGAGTGGCTGCGCCTGTCCCCTCGTCCCCTGGCCCGTTTCATCCCCATGAGTTTTCTTTCCCCTCAGCCTCGGGCTCCAGCAGCTCCTGTCAGTCACGGGGAGCTCACGCAGGCAGCCCTGCTCTATTTGTGCTCCGGGCACAAGTTGCCAGCAGGTGGCAGAACGGAGCCGCTGAGGCGGTCCCTCCTTCGGGTGCCGTACGTGCTACAGCCAGCAGCCAGCTCTCAGGAACGGTGTACCTGACACATAGGCTGGGTGGTCTTCAGGGACACGTGGGGGGTCCAGAATGTTAATCGTAGTTTAAGGTGGGAGTACAACAAAGGTGTCCATGCTGCACAGCTGTCATGGAAGCAAATATCTGGAACTGAGAGATCTGCTACAAGATCAAATTCCTCTTTAGCACTAAGTATTAATGAAGACATGCCCAAAGATCATGCATGCAGTTTGTGCTAATTACACCATGATGGTTTACACAGACCTGAAGTGATTCAGCAGCTGGGTAACAACATTCCCTAGAGATGCTGTCCCTGCTGTAGGGTAGAAGGTCCAGCATGCGAGTTTCTGTGCTGCCATGACTGCAGGTATAGAAGAGCCCCCCTTCTTGCTGCACCATTCTTAAAGTTACCTCCTTTCTCTTGTTGAAAAGCGTGAAGTCTTTTTTTTCTAATTTTGTCCCCATGTGGATGAGCTAGCCACAACTACAAGTGGAGAGAACTTTGACATGCCAAAAAACATGGATACTTGCCTTCTTTAGGTGAGCTCTGCTTCATGCCTTTGTGTGGAACCCCTCTCTAAGGAGAAGTCTGTGTGCCTTTGGCCCAGAATGTGATATTTCCTTTATGTCACCTCTACTGAGATGTAAGTAGTCTGTACTAGCATGAGACTGGCAGGGACCTTTGCCTCCAGAGACTGACGTGTCTAGAATAAAATCTACAAGAGCATTTTGGCATCCCGCCCTGTCATTTCTGTTGGGTTTTAAAGCAGAGGAGTTCTGTGCCACGCTATGGAACCACACAGTATCGTGAACATGTGCTTCCATTTTTGCCATAAAGCAATTATCATGATTACCTATTGTGTTTACACAAGATGGCCTATACACTTTGTGAAGGGTTTGAGAGCTTCTGGGAGAGGGACATCAAAGCACTATGGCAGGACAAAAGGGGATCAGGATAATGAGAAGCTGTTCTAAAATGGAGAAACTGTCTCCAAATCAAGAAAGAAATTTAATGAAGAGGAACAAAACACTTTTGGGAAGATATGACAGAGAAATGCACAGCTTTTAGCTGTTAACCAGAAAGGAAGTGAGGTCTGGAACAAATCACTGGCACTGTGTCACAGCTATGAAAAAGGGATATTTTGATATTTTTGAATATGCTCCTAACAATTTATTTGGTTTGTACTGGTGTTTGGATGTTATTGTTGTAAACCTACAGTGTTTCTATAGAAGGAAACGATTTACATTTCACTTAGTTGGACTGGTAATTATATGAATGTGAAAATCGCTAGCTTTATGTTATAGTTTTAACAAAACAAAATCATATTAGGATTTACTTTAATTTAGAAATACCTTAAATATGTAATTTACCTTCAAGTAGGATTGAAAATTATCCTATTTGAATCATAGAATTATAGAATCCTTAGAGCAGGAAGGGATCTCTGAAGGCCTGACCCTGCTAAAAAGTCTGTTCCTGTACCTCCCCTAAGATACTTAAGATACTGTTTTCTGATTATCTGCTATGTGTGAAGGTCAGGGGTTGATTTGCACTGAGGCACTATTTTTAGAGTAAAATTGTCTGTCATCTGATCAGTATTAGTGCAAAGGTCCTGAGAAAAACATTGGCCCCTGGTGGTCTAAAGAAAGATCTCCCAGAGGAAAGTTTAAAATAGATGTAGATGATGTGCTCATATAGAGCTGCTGTTCTGTATGGTTTGAATGCATTATCTGTGTTCTAGTTACAGCAGAGAAAATGGCTGTAAATATTTCCCTTCAATGTCACTAAAGCCACACTGAACAATTCACACTGTGATATCCTGATAGGAGCTTCAAGAGGAAAACACACAGTACCTGAGCCTTCCTGTTAGGGTTTCATGACAGCACTCTTACAGCTCCAGCAGAACAGACACCACCACCTTCTCATACCAGCAGCTCCCTGAGGTCAGCACAGTGCAGCCTGAAGAAATAAAATGTACACAGAAGGTTTGGAAATGAGGCACAAGGGTAAAATGCAGGCTTAGCAAATATGAGAGGCAGACAGTAGTGCAGTCGTGAGATGGCTCTGCTCTGAGGCCCAGCGAGGCATCCCGCTCACAAATGATACTGGTCAACTGGAAAGCTTGACAGGGAGCTGAAGACATTGACTTGCTGTGGAGTTGATATATACCTGTGCTGCCTGGCAAAGCAGTGACCAAGTGAAATGGTCTGAAATTTAGCTGATTAGGCTAATTTAAGTGAGGCTAATTTTACTTGAATGCCAGTGAAGTCTGTTCTCTGTGCGAGGTATTCTGCCATGGACTAGTCTCCAAACTGAAAATAAGTTTTAAGAATGTTGCTCTTTCAATGTAAATAATGAATATGGGAATAACCAGTAGAAAATATCTCACATGATGTCAGTACTGTATGTTGTTTCTGCAGATGTGAATGCTTTTTATAATTTATTACTATGACATTTTTATGTTCAAAAGCCTGTCATTTTTTTTTTTTAATAAATAAAGCAGGATAGGTTGTTAGACATATAACCACTTCTAGTAAAAAATATTAGCTATGAAAAATCTGTACAAATCTATCTCCATAGAGTAACCCATCTCCCACATATGAACTTCCAGTTGAAAAACATACTATCACCATTCCTTCTTTCATTCCATTCTCCAATTCTTTTTGCCTTTTCCTTCCTCTTCTGCTGTCATCAGACCATGTCCACTCACCTGCTCTGTAACTGGAGCTGTTTGTCTGCTTTGTCATCTGATGAAAATTGCGTTCTGAATGTCTCCTCCTCAACCAGCACCCACTGCCCAGATACAATTCACTGTGACATTTGCTGGAGAGATAAGAGGAATTTCAGAAACCGTAGAAATTTGATGTGCATTCAAGAGCTGTTCCTCTTCAAAACTAAGTTCTGTATTTTCTTTCTATCTAATTTCTAGATGATTTTGCCCTCCATCTTCCCTTTTCTTTGTAAGATTGACTTGTACTGTATGGGTAGCTCCTTCAATGGTATTAGAGGGAAGTACAGACATTCCTGGTTTTCAAATCTACTGTTGAAACTTCCCAAATAGAAGTCATTTATCTTTTCCCTGCTCTAAAGTTAAATAGCAGTGGTATCAGGCTTTGCATAAATCAGTCATCAAACAAAGGAATAGGATTAGAAGATGACAAAATCGTCTGAGCCCATTCACAGCTAGCCCAATATACAAGAATTTTCTCAAGAGAAACAGACACAAAGGTTAACTCACTTAACCTGAGGATGTATCTTGTCTTTACCGTTATCAAACCAACAACTGGGCCAGGATGCCCTTCATATGACCAGATTAATTAGCCGTTTCATTTATTGGGCTTATCACTGGGGTTTCCCAATAAATCTTTTCCAACTTCTTTTCTGATGCATCCTTTCTAGCACTGCTCATCTGGAATAATAGCTAAAATCCCTTACCCAGACTAGATAAACTACATCAGGAACAAAGAAAACTCTCATCATATTATATTTAAATTGACACATCATCCAACTTTCAATAGTATAAAGGGAACTTTTTAAATGGAAAATGTCCTTACCATCTCCAATGTTCACTGCTTAGCCACAACTTAGCAGAAGTGTCAGGATGAAGAGCTTTGCACCAGAGAATTAGTATTCCAGCATTTCTCCTTGTCTCATGCCAGCATTCCTGAGAGGTCTTATTTTACTCAGGGGTATGAGGCTACACATTCATTGTCAGTCTGTTCATTAAGGATCCAAGGGCGCAAAGATTCCTCTTGGAATGTCCTATAAATATTAACAGCAAAGCTGAGAACAGCATTTGAAAGCTGCAAATCCCATCAGGAATGTTCTTTAAGATTAGTACAAAAACTAAAATCAAACAGTAGAACAGGGGAGGGCATGGAAAAGCTTTGTCCCGCCTGCTTCAATATGGATAGGGTGAAGTCTTCTGAAGAGAAGACTGGACCTTATCTGACAACACTTAAACAGGATAGGAAAATGATGAAGTAACTTCCAGAGTGAGTGTGAGAGATGTAAGAGGGAGATCTGAACACAGGGCCTGCAGCATGACTAGGGAACAGCATAGCAGGAAGGAGGCACACACTCAGGTATCAAAAGTGTAAGACAGTAAGACTTCCAACAGACTGGAAAGCTCTGCTCATAGGAGACTTTTGTAGAGCTTGTTGAACTAAAAATCTTACAGCTGGTGAATGACCTAGGCTGTCCTAGACCCTGTATAAAAGCTGACCTAACCATGTTCATCTTCCAGGCACTTTCACAGAATCACAAAATGGTTTGGGTTGAAAGGGACCTCAAGGATCAAGTTCCAACTCCATGCTGCAGGCAGGGTTGCTAACTGTCCTTTCTCTTCTGTGATGATCTCAGGCTCTGTCAGGGGTACTCTGAAACCTCAGCAAAATTTAAAAGTTGTTGTTTGGATTATACCTTTTTGACGAAAAGACAGAAATGCAATAGCACAAACTTATGCTGTCACATCTATTAAGAACTGCAGTTACTTTGTGGAAAAAGGGAACATCCTAACATGAAAGACATTCATGAAGATCAGCCATTATAACTGTTGGTAATAAACCTTCCAGTGCTATTTTCCATAAGCATATATTAGAGCACTCTAATTAATTACATTTAATGATATGAGATGCAGCCCTTACACTGGTTGTGTACTTCTGCAATGGAAACCCAGCTGTTTCCTGTGAAAGTCACAGGTGAAAACAGTGAGTACAAGCTGCCCAGTGTACACCAGGCACTGTCTCTGCAGTCAGTGGAGAGAACAGGCACTCCTAGAGCATGTCCTAACTGAACGGTTTTAATTGTCTTTATAGGGTGCGATGAAACCACATCCTAGAATGCATTAAGTACAGCATTGCCAGCTGGTTGAGTAAAGTGATTGACCCCCTCTACACTGCACTGGTGTGGCTTCACCTTGAGCACAGGGTGAATGAAAAAAAGAATGACTGTGTGGTGCTTAGCCACCTGCTGAGTTAAACCACAACACCCAGGAAGTGGTGCTGATACCAGGTTCACTGGAGTTCAAGAAACCTCAGGACAAAGATCTTAGATATAGGGTCTGATTATTGGGTAGTCCTGCATGGAGATGCAAGTTGGACTCAGTGATCATTATGGGTCCCTTACAACACAGGATATTCTATGTTTCTATGAAAAGCAGCGTAATCGTATCCAGCTTTCTCCAATACCAATACAATGAAGTCCAAGTTTCCCTGTATATTTCTACATGTGAGATGTACACATCTCACTCCCAATGTCCATTACCTCACTTCCTACTAGTTAATGTTGAATGAGCTTAAGAAATGCAAAGGTCAAGCTTCATTGACTGAATTTTATCACAAGAGCTTTATAATTACGCTTGGTATCATCTCCTCTTTGTGGAAACCCCAGGGAGCAGAGAGGTTTAATTTGGATATTAGGAAAAGGTTAAGAAAACCACTGAGCATGGTTGTGCATGGCTTCTTGGGGCAGTGGTCATTGTTCTGACATGAGAACTCCTTATTTTGAAACTCATGGGATGAAAAAGAGGTGGTTTCTTATGAACTTGAATTTGACATTTCCAGCTATGCAGAGAGGATGACTGAGTACCATACGTGTCCTGTACAGTTATAAAGTAGCTGGTTTAAATACAGGACAGTGAAGATAGCTACAGCCTTGTAGGAAAGCACTGCAGGCTGTGTGAGTTCCACTAAATGCTTTTGGGGTCCATCCTCTGAGAGTCACAGAAGAACAAATAAAAAAATGTTATGCAGAAAGCCAGTGAGAAATGATATTTTCACAGAGAGACAGACTAAGTTTTGAGGGAATGATTTCTCAAATCTCTCATCTGCTTTTCAACTTCAGTGTCATCAACTTAGGCACCATCTGCAGCTGCACAGATCTGCATTCTCACGTTGCTCTTACAGAATGCACTGCACTTTGACATGATGCATGTGCAAAAAGTGTGATCATGGCAGATGCAAATTGGCATGAAAGGGCATAGAATTTCATCACAAATGTAAACTTAAATCTCCAGAGAACTCAGCTCCTCTTGGCACTTTTGTTTGTTTTTCTGATATAGAAATATTGAAAAAAATCAATGAGCAATCAAAGAACACTTCATTCTGAAATTTTCAGTGCTTTAGCAAGTTTCCCTCTTGATTTCTACAGGTGCCATATCTGAGATTACCTCAAGCCCTTTCAGTTCCCAAAATTTTGGGTACAACACCAACACACAACACACATTATTGCATCCAATTCCTATCCTTTCCTTTGGGCTCTTCACTCAATTCTTCTTCCTTTCACCACATTCACTATCCTGCATTCTCCCATCTCATTTTTCTCACTGACGAATCTCCTTCATTCCTCCCCCACTCACTTCCCTGATGGCAGTCAGTCCCAGAGCTGTATGCCAGCCCTTCCCCTGTCCATGCTCAGGGCTCACGTCTCTCCCATCTGTATTCGCAATCAGTTCATGCAGGGCCACGGTCTATCAGAGGAGCAGCACATCCACACAGATATTCTAGGTTCTTCCTGTGGCTTTAAGCCTCTTCAATTCACTGTTAGGACATCAGGGCCCCTGATTTCTGGGGGAGGAGTAACTGAGGTGAACTGTCCTCAGGCTCAAGAGACACTATCTTCTGAATAAGCTCCTAAGCCTTTTTTTCAGGCCCAGGACTTTTGACCTACAAGAGAAGGTTTCCTATCTAGCAGAAGCTGAGTAGCTCTGAACATTCTCCAGCATCTCAGGGCTCAGCAGAAGGGGCTGTTTGCTGTATCCTGTGAGTTTCATAGGCTTCATGCTGAGAGGGGCGTCAGTAGTTCACTTGAAGTCACGAAAGCGAACATGCTTTTAATCTTCATCTGCTGGCAATGCATCTTGTTATCCACTTTGAGTCACTTTCCATCTGCACCTTTCCAATGCCATGCTGATACATAAACAGTCAAATCTTGTAAGGCATAGATCGCAACTATTTTACACTGGAAATTTCTAAAGCTTATTGACTTGAATGAATTCCTGTCAAAAGTGCAGTCATTAAACATAAAAGCTATAGCATCCAGTTGTCAGGAAAAGCTGCATGACAGAAAACAAGAATCACAGTTTTTTTAATTCAAGGAATGATACGACTTCAAATTAGAAGTTCCTAATGTTGAACATTTCTTTATGAGATGAATCTGTAAACTAGGACTTCCTAATTTATTGCCTGTTGAGCAGATGACCTAGTGGATAAGCCAGATGTCCACAACATATCTCAGAAGTTCTTGGGATTGTACCAGAAAACCTAGTGAAAAAGAGGAAAGCTAATGAGACTGCCAAACACATCTGATGAGGGTATAGAAGTTATGAATGGCACAGAATTTCGTTCTGTGTGGTTATGTAATATAAAATGCAACCTCGCAATTTGTTCTCTGCTGTACTGTAATTTGCTGGCTGATACTGCAAATTACATCCTTTTTATAGTAAGTTTTACCGTAAAGAAGATGCAAACTGAATGTAAGAGATCAGCAGTGGTTCTCTTCAATGACTCCTATCAAACAGATGAGTGCTAGATCTGGGGCCTGTTATCATTCTTTTCCTTGGTTCATTCTGGGCAGAAGACTTAAGAACAGTACCATGGGGTTTCTTCCACTGATGACAGCATTGAAACTAGTGGATAACAGCAATGAAAGAAAGCATCACACTACTAGATTGTGAAAGTTCTTTCCACTGAAACATAGCAAGATCAAGATCTCAGTTCACAATGAAAATCTAAAACCAAAATTAATTGTTTCTGTATGTAGGCTCTAGAGGGAAATCTGTGTCTACATGTGTATTTTCAGTTTAGTTGTGATCTGTTGCTAAGTATTCTGTCTCTCTGTGCCTACTAACCTTAGAGCCTGATTGTGGAGAAGTCATATCTTAAGGGCTGGCAGAGAACAAGGCAGCTGCACGATCCCTTTCTCAAGATGATTCTATTTTCAGCATGCCTGAAACTCTTCTCCATGGGAAATGTCAGCGCTGCAGTACCTGGCCCACACATTACTTTGCAGGACATTCTGTACCCAGGGATTGCTCTCATTCTGCCTCTTCTCTTTTTGACTGTGCTGTGTTTTATACCCAGCTGCTGTGGAGTTATGTCTGCAGAGACAGGAACAGAACTGAGAGAAAATTAGTGGCTGATAGGATCTAGTTCATTTTTCCTTTTCCAACATCTTCAAATCTAATCCATCTTTCTCTTCTAAACCTGTACTGGGAATTCCTGTCAGTCTTGTGATCAACATCATACGGTCTGTCACAGCTGCCATCGCTATTAATTATTTTTCCTTGCTTAAAATAAATGGATTTTATTATTATTCACAGAAAAGCATGGAATTTCTTGTTGATGATGAGAACTGGAAAAAGAAAATTGCATGTTACTATAGATTTTAAAAGAAATGTTAGATGTTTTGTATCTTTTTTTTTTCCACACAGCAAGTTTTTAATTGCCATTTGCACCAGGAAAGCTTACTTAATTTACACTGGCATTTGTTTTGTTTGCAGTAAGTGGATTAATGCCAAGCACTGAAAAGTTTGTTGTTTAACCTGACTGAACACCTATATTCTTTACAGGCCCAATAAATTAACTGTCACCTTAATAGTGCAACACAGCAAACTGAAAAATGGGCAAGTACACTAAGAGTAGTCCATATGGATAACTTAAAGGAGGGTATACTTGTGAAAAATTTGTGTTATTAGAACTTTTAGGAAAAAGCAAAACCCGTAAATGTACAAGCATATGAGTAATTTTTGCTAACTTTAAGGA